CAAACGGCAGAAACAAAAAAAAAAAAAACAAGACAAACATGAAGGGCACACTGAAACCATTCATTTTTCTCATTCTTCTTTTAACTCCTCCTTCACCGTGCCTCTCACGTACAAGGCTCACCACGTTGATGAAGTTGAGTGTGAGCTGCCCCCATCCCCGTGTGCCATAACAGCCCACTTGTACGCTGTGAGAAAGAGGCAGAGTGAAGGGGGAGGGGATAAACACAGGGAGGAGAGATGGAGAACAGACAAACAAAGAACGATGAAGGGAAAGTAAGGGAAAGTATGGAGTGTGGAGTGAAAATGAAGGCAAAAGAGGATAAGAAAAGGCTCAAGAATGAGTCTGTCCTTGACGACAGAGAGGACATACATTGTAAGGATGAGGTGGATGAACACATGGAAGACCTAGCTGAGCATTCTCAGTGCAACAATTGCCACGATGGCTGGCATTGAGCATGCCCACCATACACCCCCGACAAATGGCATGTCGATTGCAGGCCAAAATGAAGGAAGAACGGTCACCACAAAAGATCATGCATTCAGTATAGCGCCCATGGCTGCAAAATGCACAGATAGTGTCCGGATGCGGACGGTGCCTGCAGTCAGAAATGGTGGGACAGTCCTCTGCACACATGGATGCAGAAACCATGTCATCGTAGTGATTGTGACAATGACGATGGCGGCTACAGCGAGTGTAACAGTGTTTGTGGCTGTGCAAAGGAGAAGGTTGCAGAGTGTTGGTACATTGTCTTGCTGCAGCACGGGGCCAGAGGAATAATCTTCGGCATAAAAAAGATTGCGGAAGGTTTGTTGTGGCAGGAAAACAGCATCACTTTGTAAGAAATAAGTGACATCAGTCATGGCATGGACCATGGTGCCCTTGTCCCACAGCTCCCAGTGGTCAGAGAGGCATGTACAATGGCCATGTAATGGCCAGGGCCGTGCACAATGCAGGCAAAGATGTGGGATGGAGGATTCAACCACTCACCTGCTCGAGCATTGCGTAGTTCAAGTTGTTGGTCCCTCAAAACCTCCTTCGCTGGTATAATTACAATCCTTTGGCTGTAGTTGGGGAAGATCAGCATCAAGTTGAAGGGCGATTGCAAGGAAGTCTGATGGTGTAAGAAACAGGCGGTGGAGAATTTGAAGACAGATATTAGTTGCCGTCAGAGCACAGAGATTGGTGAGGTTCTCAGGCTGGTTTGTTGGATGCTGGCCAACAATTTGCAGATCACCCAGGTGGTGTTGCAAGCCCAAACTGTGTTGGGTTGTTTGCTGGTCAGTCATTTGCAGATCACCCATGTGGTCTGCACGTAGCGGAGCACAAATTTATGGTTCATCCGAACAATGCTGGTCAGTCATTTGCAGATCCCCCATGTGGTCTACGCCTTGTGGGGTCAACTGCAATCCGGGCAGATCATGTTCCAATCCCTTAACGTTTAGGGCTGCATCCTGAGTAGGGACCGTCCCTGGAGTCAGGAGTGTAGTCTGGGCAGGGACCACATTGTGTTGTACAGGTGAGTTGTGAATATCTAATGCCGCAGGGTATAAAACATGGTGTTGTGGCTGCCTGCAGGCAGCTGGACTGTCTGCAGGAGGCATAGGAGTGGATATTGCCATTTGAAACAAAGGAACCGCAACATGCTGTGGAGGAGGCACAGAGAGAATCAGGCAGACAAAGAAACAGGTTGCTGATCCCCGAACAAGTGACAATGTCGCGGATGTCGTCGGCGATACACAACAAGAGTAGTGGTGTTGCAAACAAAAGATAAATTTGTCCCTAGCAACGAAGGTGGAACAATGGGAGCAATTGAAACTGGAGAGTTTGTTCGCAAGCGAGACCGTGAAGGAGATGGGGTTGGTGAGGAGGAACGCAACCGTCTGCGGCCAAGCACAGAAAGAGATGAGAGGGGGGTGGCTTGGGCAAGATTTTGAAATAAAGTACCTGAGTGCCAGAAAAACTGTGATGTTCTTTGCATTGGAGCTGCAGGAGAGGGAGTTGTAGGAGTAAAAATTATACTAGGGGGAATTACAGTTATGGAAACCGCAGCAGCGAAAACTGTAGCAGTGGAAACCGCAGCAGCGAAAACTGCAGCAGTGGAAACTGGAGTTGTGGAAACTGGAGCAGTGGAAACTGCAGCAGTGGAAACTAGAGCAGTGGAAACTAGAGCAGTGGAAACTGCAGCAATGGAAACCACAACAGTGGACACTGCAGCAGTGGAACCCGCAACAGTGGACACTGCAGCAGTGGAAACTAGAGCAGTGGAAACTGCAGCAATGGAAACCAAAACAGTGGACACTGCAGCAGTGGAACCCGTAACAGTGGACACTGCAGCAGTGGAAACTGCGGTAGCAACAGATGAGCAAGCAGGGGCAGGAGTAGGACGAGAGTGTCCTGAGGGCGAAGAAGAAATTGGATAATACAAGGACCATCGCAGCATGTGTCAGAACCACTGAGAAAGACGCATCACATGCGTAGGATAGCGATGTTGGAGGGAGTGCATGTAGCACATCCACCCCTTAGCAAGGGTTGGTGGGGAACGCCCACGCGAAAGCATGCGACGAGTAAGTGTTGTTGCCGCAGTTCGAAAGTCCTGCCAAGTGTTACAAATTTGTTTAAATCTGGTCAATTGCCCAGTGAACACACCAGCCGGTTGATGGGAAGGGATGTTGGAGGTCACACTTGGATAACGAATGACAAGGAAGTCCCAAGCAGCGACTTTATCAAAGATGCTCATATCTCTCGTGTACAAAAAAATGTTTTGTATAACAAAGCGAAGATGTTGGAGAATCTGAGAAACGAAAAGGGTATCCGGGCCTGAATCGGCCGTCCATTGGCCACAATGAGGTCCTCGAATAACCATGTTGAGGGCAACGCAGCGTGAATGCGTGCAAGCATGCCGAAGGGCATAAACATGAGCTTCATCAACAACTTTTGCCACATTATTCAGAATGCGGTCATGAGGAAGGTTGGTGTACACTGTGGTAAAATCAACAGTGTGAGGAAAGAGGCCACAAAGAGACGATGCATTGTTTTTCAGGTCTGTACACTCCCAATTTCAGGGGCAGTCCCTAGGCCCAAATGTCCAGGTATTCGGACATGCTTTTCCCGAATGGCAAATTGCCCCACAGAGCGTAGACCACACGGGTGATTTGCAAATGGCTGAACAACATCGCTTGGCTAACTGCAATTTTTTTCCCAACCAGGCGCAGACCACATGGGTCACGATAGGTGGTGTGCAAATGACTAGTTGCAAACAGTCCAGGACATTTTGGGCTTGCAACACCATATAGGTGATCCACAAATTGTTGGCCAGCATTCAACACTCCAACCTGAGACTCCCACCAATCTATGTGGTCTGGCTGCAACTAATATTTGTCTTCACGTTGTCCACCTCGCACCTTTATTCTGCCCTCTTAGGGTATGCTGCTTCAAGAAGAGTGTTCTTTTTGATGGGCCTCACACACATGTGCAATGACTTCAAAGTCCATTAAGGCATCATGAATGCAAACTTCAAAGTCATTGCCATGTGTGAGGTCCTTCAAAAAGAGCACTCTATTGAAGCAATATACCCTAAGAGGGTATAGTTCACCCTTCTTAGGTAGTAAGCTAGCCTCTTAAGTAGTCATACCCAGTGGCCGGATGTGTAGCAAAGAAATCGTAGCATCCCATAATATCTGCCATTACTGATTAGAAAAACATCAGCACGTCATAGATATATTAGATAGTAGACACCTACTAGACACAGAAAAAGAGAATGGGAAAGGGGAAGAAAGACTAAATAGTGAGGCAAAGGATGGGCAAGAAGCGTCAACAGGCAGATTGGGATTGGGTGCAGGGGAGGGAAGAGGAGTAAGGGACAAAGGAGTAAAGTTCCGAGATATGTGGCTGTCAACATCTGATGCCCTGTGAGGAATAGTTTTACTAATTAGGCTTACATACCACCAATAGAAAGGAGCTTGTTTTGCGGTAAAAAAGCAAAGGTAAAAAAAGACATACCCTGTATGGATCTGCATAGGAATGTCCAGTTTTGTTGCAACCTCCAGTGCCACAACAAAGATAAAGTCCACCAGGTGCTTATCCACAATTTGCACATCGCCTTGTTGCCTTGCTGTACAGACGACATACAAGAAGCATTGAAAAGGCAACTTTCGGCAGAGAACTTGTCATGGAAGGCCATAAAATTATCGAAGACTCATTCTACACCCCACTACTTAGGGATAGGAACTTGGTTTGTCATTAATTTCGTTTCAGTGACACCCATTCTCTGGTGCTCTTTCAGCGTCATAGAATATGGACCAAAGTTGCAAAAGAGATACACTTCACTTTTTTACCAAGCAGCACCCATGTCTCCAGCAGTTGCAAAATCTTTTTGTCTCAGAAGAAAAGCCTGTGGACGTGCGCCATGATTACTTCCGTCCAGAAAACGAATGTAGTGAACCGACTTGATAACGACATACTCACAATATGATGCTCTCTCTGCATCACATACATCCGGGAGAGTACCAGCATGAGTATGCCCAAAGACATCTTACCTAAGGCAATGGAGAATCAGGCAAATTGATCAATAAGATGGGAAGCAGAGAGATAAGCATATCGATATCAGAAGAGAGAGCCATATCTATGTTCAGAATGGAGCTTCCAAACCTGCCCAAACAAGGTTGTTTCCCAGCATTTTGTACATGTTTCCACATTGATCTTTTCGCCTCAATCTTCAGCCCCGAAGAAACACAAACAGTGATGAAGGCTATGTTAACTCTTATCTGGTCCCCTAGGTCCTCGGAACTAGTCCTGCTGCTGCCACTTTGATGAATTCCCATGAAAATTGATGGAACTGCACAATTACTTTTTTCTTAGCACCTATGTAAGAGAGGAAATCATTCAACCGATCTCCCTCTTCACATTTCCAGGCACTCACCAAGCAGGTTTGCTAGGGCCGCTTCCGCATCTTCCCTCTTCACATTTGGATCAATGTCCAAGCCGCTCCTGTAGGCAGCGATGCTTTTGAAAGCAACAATGGATTCTGGCAACGTACAATGGACCATGAAGCAATCCAGAGTCAAGGAACTCCACGGGGAGTTTTCACTCCAGCACTTAGGGTTTAGGGTTTGAGGTTTTGGATCTGGGCCATCAGATCCAGGGTTTAGGGTTTAGGATTTAGGCCACTATGCACTTCTTTTTTAATAAAGAAAACAGAACCTTTTGGTTCTGGCTCCTACCATTCTGGGGAGCGACAGTCTGGTTCCTGTTCCCCCGGCAAGTCAATATAGAAAATATGGGCGACTCACGCACACTCCTCCCCATTATGGCTGAGAGGTCCGAGTGGATGGCATTGATTACTTCCCTGAGGAAGGATGTACCACCCCTCACCCCTGCCTAAGTTAGCCTGTACTATTTGATCTGCCTGGCTGTGGCCTATCTGTCTGAAGACTCTGGAGTCTGAACCCCTTCCCGCTCCTCTCAGCTGTGATGCTGTCGGGTTGGTGTGTTATGCTAGAGCGGTCTGGAACGTCTACGAGCCTCTTGAAATCTCTAACATCCTAAGCCCTGTATGCCTTGTTTCTGACTAAACCTTAAACCCTAAACCGTCAAGCTAAAACCCTGAACCCTCGTTGACTGTAGTGTGTTTTTATGGTCTGTCCCTGTCAGAATTTTCTGTGTTAAAGCTGTTGAATATGCCTATAGTTTCTATGTGGGGTAGTTTGGGTTTGGGGGGGTGGTGACTGAGGGGGTCTGCGCGGTGGTGAAGGTTTTGTGATTCTGGGTCGATGGGCTCGGGGTTATGGGCTAGCGACGGGGGAGCGAGGATAAATGTGGTAAGGGAGGGACTGTGTTATAGTTGGGGGGAACGGACTTTGTTGGAGTTGGGAATTTCTGAGGTGTGTAGGTGCACAATGTGGGGGATCTCAGGTGGTGTCCTCTTCTGTTGTGATTAGTATGTGTGTGTGTGGGTTGGCTTGGGGGGTGTAATGGGGTCTCGGCTGCACGTTGTTAGGGTTTTGTCCTTGGCTGGTTGATGAGGGCCAGATTAACCAATTAGAGAATTTTATTCTGCCTCGTTCAGTTGAGCCTAATTTGCCGCTGCCTAGCTTGCCGATTAAGAATTTTTTGATACTTCTTCATTTTTGTCCGGAGGGATCTGAATTTGCTTTAGGGTCTTTTTCCATAGAGCTAGGATTTCTGTTTCAATTGTCTGTTTGATGGTAATTAGGGGAGTCTCTGAGGGGGCGTGGTGTTCAATAATGGTTAGATGGCAACGCCTTTTCCATATGGCCCATAGGGTGCCTTTTCTGATTAGCGAGAAGAGGAAGTAGTCGAAACCTTTTAGAGTTGGGGATTGATCTGAGTGAAGGAGTATGGTAGAGGGGTTGATGAGTACGTTTCTATTGGATAGAGAATTCCATGAGAGTTCTATGTCTAGCCACAACTGCTTTGCGTGTTCACAATCTAAGAAACAATGATTGAGAGATTCCTCGGATTGTGTGTTACATACCTTGCACCAGGTTGACTGGCGTGTTCTGCTTTCCTTACTTCTTCTCTGGGCAAGCCATTGATTTACTGGGATTGCTCTGAATGCTATGAGCCAGAGGAGGCTGGCCAGTTTGGCCGGTCGAGTGCTGAAGATTGTGGGCCAGTGTGGGTGTACAGATGAACCCTCGACAGTGCTCTCATGCTCATCCCATCTTTTTTTTATTATTGTTGAAATTGGCTGAGGTTTGTTGAATAATTTATATCCAAGTCAGGGTGTGTAGTCTGTTAAGGCATATCGCCTACCTGCAGTCGAAAGTATGCTGGGGGTGTTCCATGACCATTCTGTTGGGTCTATTTCTAAGTGTTGTATTGCTGTATCCGGTTTGTATGCTCTATTTTTTCCCCCTTCTATGATTCTGACCCTTCTGATTCTATCTATTCTGAAAGCGCCTTCTGCTGTAGGCCACTATGCACTTAGAAAGAGCTGCAAAGCATTTTTCTGCAGCCCGCATACACACTTGCATTTGCCACATGATCCTATCCAAATCTGATCTAGAGGATGGATGGTCACAGATGAGTATTCCTTTTTCGATTTCTTTTTTTTCTGTTTTTTTCCCCTTGGCTTGTAAAGACCATATCCTCAAGGCTCCGCTTGTCGATTGCATTAATAAAAATCAAGACACTGCAGCATGCCAGCCATCAATCCACTCCAATCATTAAATGTGAAGAGCACAGCTACTGCAGCACTAAATATGTAAATAGTAAATACTAAAAAGCATATATACTGTAACACTGAATTAAACCGCTAGGACACCGACCAGGCAAACTTGAGAATTGAAATCGAGCCAATCCCAAAATTTCAGGGACCCAGAGCTACTGGACCACAATGGCTGGCAGCGCCAGCCAAGAAAGAAAGGAAGTAATAAGTATGCAACTGGCGGCTCAGCAAAGCTTGATGTGAAGTGCGAATTCGCCATAGAGACTTGTGTGAGGATTGAGCCCTCAAGTAG